CACTCCCACCAACAGTGCAAGAGAGTTCCTTTTTCCCTACAGCCTCTCCAGCATTTGTTGTTGATAGTTTCTTGATCCTTTGGCCGACTGTTTTTTGTACATATCATTTGATTGTCTGACTCAGGCACGCAGATTCTTTTTGCTCCGCAGACATGTCACAGTCAATCTTAACTTGGGGCTTTTTCTTAACTGCTCTTTGATTTGAAGTCTCTTCCTGCAAGGCTGGCAGCAAACGTCAGTGTCAGTTCATGGATTAAGTGTCATATTCTCAAAAAAAAAAAAAAAAAAAAAAGTGTCATATTCTCAGACATCCTTTGCCTAATGGTTTGCTCTGAGGCTGTTCACTTCCTACATGCACAATCACATTATCTTGGTTTTTTGTTTTTTCTATAATTGCCAGAAACAATGTTTGTTTGACTAATTGTCTTTGCTCTAACATTGCATAAGTTACCTCCTTTAGAGCACAGAACTTGTTTGCTCTTCTGTATCTCAAGCATCTACAAGTGCTCAAAAAATACACTGAAGGCATGAAGGGGAAAAGTGAAAAGTGAGTGGAGTAAAGTGACATTAACTGGGTGTGTTAACACAGGCCTGTAATTCCAGCTACTCAGCCTGAAGCTAGTCTAAGTCCAGTCTGGACAATTTAGCGAGACCCAATGCCAAAATCACAAAAGGGCCAGGATGTAGCCCTGTAGTGGTCTGCTTGCCTACCATGCACGAAACCCTGAATGTACTCCCTGAACCTCAGAAAGCACTATGATGAGGAAAAAAATCACAAACAGTGACTCTCTAGAAAGGAGGAAGGTTATCTCCCTATCTTGAGTGATAGGGAAGGATTGACCTGGTTTTATGGCTGGGTGATGATAACCTCCTTTTCCCTCCCGGGCAGCCTTGCAGAGTCACTAATCAGTTATCCTGTAACATTTCAAGGGTGGAGCTTGGGAGAGTCACCAGATGAATTAGATTCCTTTTTTTCCTCTCAATACATTCTGGCACCAGAAATAATGGCGAACTTACTCAACTATAAATCAATTTGAAGTGGTGAATAATTGGGAAATATACAAAGTTTATAGGAGCAGGAGGCAGGAGGAGCTTTAGCTCTTTTTTGGAACCTTCCAGTGCTTTTCAACCTCCTGTCCTTGTGCCTATTCAAAGGGAAATACTGGAGCATTTCTGGGGGGTGTTACTGCCACACCTCCAAATATACAGGTGGAGTGACCTTCTGATTTTTATAGGCCAAGAAACACAAGTGTGTTTTATTCTTTTACCTTGACTTCCTTGAGTCCTAGATATCTGCAGCCAATGAAATGATAAGGATGTAAAATCTCTCTTACTTAGACTACCTGCCTCTGCCTTACACACTTTGCATACTCTGGGCTTTGTAATAGCAGAAGCAGGCAACAAAATATGGGGAAATTCACTGAAATAACAGGAACATCCTTACATGTGTAGAATATATTTACCCGCCTTGTATTCCAAGCAGACTTAAAGCAATTGATGCCAAAAAGACATAAGTAAAGTCTTACTTTTCATTAATTCTCCAGCATAAATGATGGCAGAGAGATCAAAATTCTAAATCAGAAAACATGGTTTCTTTTTTTTTTTTTTCTTATCCATACCGGGGATTGAACTCATGACCACCTGCTTGCAAGGCAGGTGCTTATGCCACTGAACTAAATCCCCAGCCCCTTTTTAAATGCTTGTTTTGTGTGTGTGTGTGTGTGTGTGTGTGTGTGGTACTGGGGATTGAACTCACAACCTTGTACTTGCCAGGCAGGCACTTATGCTGTTGAGCTAAATCCCCAGCCCCTAAATCAGGAAACATGGTTTTTTCACTCCCACTCATTGTCCGTTCATTGACTGAACATCTGTTTATCAAAAACAATATTCCAAGTATTGAAAATTCAGTTCGTTGCCCAAGTCGTGTTGTTAGGGAAGAAGTGGGATTCAAATATAAGCAGTGAGGCTGTGGAATCCGTGGACAGAAGCGCTTCTTCAAATTATAGGCATGTCAGCCCTGTTTCCAAGGAGGGCAATCCTGCCGAAGAGCACCCAAAGCTCTGAACCTAGCCCAGTATTTCCCAAGCTGTACTGTACATGAGAATTACTCAGGGGATCTTGTTAGGAGGCAGCTTCTGATCGAGTGCCTAATCCGGAGCAGATGCGGCTTGCAGCGGTCTGTATAGTTACTGACAGCTGCCCTCGTGTGGCTGCTGGAATAATTGCCCTCTGGCGGTTCCTTTCCTGCGGAATTAAACATCTGCCATCGTTTTTAATAACCCCAAGTTAATGTCTTTCAAACCTTAGTCTCCTTGTAAGGCTTTCCTATTTTTTCCAGGTGCACAGATTTCTGCATATCAGCGCTATAACTTTAACATATCTATGCAAATCTCCCCTCCCACTTTATTATTTTAATTAGCTTTCTTTTCTTCACATAGATTTATTTTTAAAGGGAATTTTGTATCACTGCCTCAGATGGGAAGACCAATATTGTTATTACAAATACACGATAACTACAAAAATTATCGAAAGAAAACAAAACATTTCAAAAATGTAGGTAGGTGCCTCCCAAGGTCTAAGCCTGAGATTCTGTCTTTGTTAAAAGGAGATTAACAAGTTCTACACTGTTAAAGGCTCAGAGCAGTAAACTTGCTTGTGTTTCTATAGCATCAGGAGGATCAAAAGGCAGCCGAATAGAGATTAATGCTTATGTAGTTCAGTGCTCTTTAATGCGATGAATACGACCGCTTAAATAGTCCTTTGGTGAAGGGCTGTAGAGATGTGTGAAAGGCTGTTCTTCTGCACCTTCGTGTCATCTGTGCTTGAGAAGTGTGTTTATGGATCTCAATTAATTAGTTTTGCAACAGGAAAACAGGCAGGAAAAGCGTGTGTGAGAGGGGAACTCTTAATGGATTTTTTTTGTATAACCAGTGGGTGTGGGGCGTGGTGGGCCGTGGGATCAGACAGACATGGTTTATTTCTGTGCTAATGCATTGTTCATTTTCTGGATGTTACTAGAATTCCCTCTTGTAATTCATAAATAAGCTTGTTGTAATTCATTCACTCATTCAGGAGCAGTAAGTTAGCCTTAAAATGTATGTTTTCTTTTTACCTTTTCCTTTCTTTTTAAGACAAGCTCTTCCTGTATCACCCAGACTGGCCATCAACTTGTAGACCTCCTGCCTCAGGCTCCTGCCAAGCTGGGATTAAAGTGTGCACCACAATTTACACGTAGAGTATAAAGAATTTAGGTGGATGGTGGACAAATTTGGCTTCCCTTCAGATGATTAATCAAATGAGTTCTTACATTCCAACTCCTTCTACTAATGAATGGCTCAGGATAGGCAAACTGAAGTCAGCATGGGTCAAGGAGATGCTAGGACAGAATGAATATCCATGTGAGAACTAAGCTTTCTTTTTTCTTATGTCTACAGGGAGGCAGCCTTCCTCCCTCAGACATGAGAGCAATATGCCTGATTAGTTCAGGCTACTCTTTCTTGATAGAGAAAACCAGGCTTAGGGAACTGATCTTGCAGATATTGGATCAGAGAGAAAGAATTTAAATACTTATGACATCACTCATCGAAGAATCAACCATCCGTCGGGCCTGCTGTGGGCATCTTCCCAGGGGAGGTGATCGATTTCCTTCTTGTTTAACCAGGTATCAATCTAGTTTCCCAAATTTGTACTCAATAGCTTTTAACAGACACAAAAAAATACACAAGAAGTATGACCCTTAGAACTTGCATATCACTGGAAGAATCATAACACAAATTAAAAAGTTAAGTATCAGTCCATTTCAATACAAGAAAAGAATGACTCATGGTCGTATAAACATGCATGCTTTACACACGTTATCTCATGGAATGTCCTAACACAGCAGGCAGCCATGGTTATCCTGATTCTAGAGTTCAGGAAAATTTAAGGCTCAGACACTTGAGAACCTGAGTGACTAGTATGGCAGTGAACATGATTCCCAATAGTATGCCTTTTGCGTATTGCAGTTGGAAGGAGGAGGCTGGAGAAAATTCCATATACTATAACAGTAAATAGAGTGGCTTTTTGTTCAGAAAAGCCAGAACTCTGCTTTTTACTGCAGTGTGATTTTTAGATAAATTACCTAATTTCCCTGAGCCTCAGTTTTCTTATTTGAAATGTGAAATAATTATATCTGCCTCATATGGCCCTTGCTGGGATGAATAACATGTTATATTTATAATGAGGCCACATTATTTGAATGACAGCTAGTGTGATGACTGGTATGTGGGATAGAGTTGATGCTGTTTTAATATCATACATGTATGTTATTTTATTGGAAGCTTCTCTAGGTTTACAGGGTCAACACCCAACTTTAAACGTTTTAAATTTTGTGATATATTGATTCATAAGAAGTTCTTACCAAGACTCATTTTAAAAGTCAATATCAAGCTTTTCCTGTATGACGTGCTATACTTCATTCTTTTCCATAGAATTGACCTTAATTCAGTGGCTTTTGGGAAATACTAAATGGAAAGTTCAAATGTAGCCAGGCTTTGGTTTTGAAGCAGTAGATATTTAAAGATCAATAGCCAAATCAAGGCACTCAGAAGCTCAGAACTTCATGCATGTGTGTCTCAGTATCCTTCTATTTAAGTAGAAGCTGGGGTCACCTTCGTCCTTAACTGGTCACAAACCTGAAGGTGGACACCGTTAGGTAAGAAAAGCTGGGAACTTAGCATAACCCTCTGCAAGCTTGCCCAGGCTAATGAACTATCTCCTTATTGCCAATAAAGGAATTTTCCATGCATGCCACTCTCATTTATGAAATTTGATTTTCCTTGTACTCTGTATCTTGCATCCTGCCTGAACTTCTCCCCCGCTTTCTAGGTCCCCTGAATTTGCTCCCTTTTGGAAGTTCCCTTTCAAGTCCTGACAATGGGTTGTGTTTGCTCAGTGGCTGCTGCTGCCCACCGGAAGTCTGTTGGTGCCTTCAATGACTCAGCAGCTGAAGGAGGCAGATGGCTCTGGAGGGAAAGTTAGGACTAGGACGGCCACACTGCTGTTGACAGGAAAGAGAGGAGCAAATGCTGAGCTGAGCTGAGACACTGACATCTGATACTGAATGGAAAAACAACAGATGATGGCAATTCTGTGAGGACAAGGAACAGGAGAGGGGAGAGAACCACAGAAGTCTTCTTAGGTGTGAACAGGGTAAGTTCTAGAAAGCCGTGTGTGAATGTCTCGGTAGGCTTGAACAGGGTGGTCCTAACCACAAGACCCCCCTGCCTGCGCTCCTGTGTTGTGGGATTTAGCTTTGCCCTCATTTTTCTGAAACTAAAAATCTGTCAATGGAGCGTGATGCAGTGTAGAATGGGAGCCTGAAAGATCGCACAGAAACACAGACACAAGCTCTTGTCCTCTGTTGACTGTTTGGCCCCCAAGCAGCTGGCCTGTTCCCTGAGAAAAATTTATTTTAGGTGATTGCCCTTGCCAAAGTGGATTCCTTCAGAGCTCTGTGCACCTAGGACTTGGATTCTGTCAATTCTTCTTGAAAACCAGCAGTGGGGAAAAAAGATCTTCGATCCATCATGTTTTCCTTATGTCAGTTTCTTTTGAGTTACTGTAGATTGTTCTAGAAAAGCAGATGGAGCAACAGGTCTCCTCCTTCCCCCCTCTCCCTTTTCTCTCTCTTTATTGTGTTTTTAATTCCCCTACCTTCTTGTTCTAGGTGACTTTGAAGGAACATATAAATTAGAAAATGGAGGTGTGTGTATGTTTGGGGGAGACTACCAGGAGAAAATGAAGGACTGGCACATCACACGCCTGGATATTTGGTAGAGGAATAACACATATTTGGCCCAGAGTTTTATAGCAGCTAGAACAGAAGTGCTTATGTGAGATACAGTTTATGAATGGACAGTATAAGTTACATTGTCCATGAAATACAAATAAACTCCTCATTTTGAAGAGTCACAGTGGGTTTTGACCTGGGAGAAACTCCCTCCCATACTGTGGTGAGGTGGTAAACTGTTTCTGTAGTGCCCACACATAAAGCACAGCAGCGATTTTATTGGGCTGTTTCCTCCAAGGTCCCTCAGGGCAAGCTGGTGGTTTCATGGGCAAATTCAGCTCAGGAAAGCAGTTCTATAAGGAGCCAACCGTGTGGTTGTGGGATACAACTGTAAGACCTGGGTAAAATGTCAGATCCCAAAAGACTGCATGGTCATCTGGGAGTTTTACTGACATTTTTTTTTTAACATCAGCTTTTTAACTGTTTTTGAGCAGCTGAGTTCAAGGTTATGCTCTCCGGAGAGATGCTGAGTATAGATAATCTATGATGCTGATGAAGGACACATCTATCAGAGTCAGCTGAGCCATTGCTAGAATTGATGTTTTTTGTGTAATGAAAACTAAGAAGTCTAATGCAGACAAAGGTCAGAATTGAGGCCACCCCCCCCTTGTATTCAATGCTAGAAATCAGGAGAGATTCATTTTGGGAATTTTTATACTTTAGCATGCTTTAAGTTTTGGAGTTAGGATGTAATTAGCTATAAAAAATGGAAATACAAGCATAGAGAAAAATTAAAATGACCTTTTATCCAGTCACTAGAAACAAAGATCTTCTAATTTCTAATTTTTATTTATAACATTGGGTTTTTAATTACATAGATAGCTCCTATATATTATTTCATTTAACATCAGATTGTGAATGTTTTCCTGTATCATCATATATATTTGAAGTCATTGTTTTAATTATATCTTACATTATTTGTTATATGTTTGTTTATTTTGTTATTATGCTACATTTGATGAATGGGTAAATCATAATTTATTTAGTCATTTCACTATTTTGTTCTTTTTCTTTATCCTTTTCTTTAAAATTTTTGTCAGGGCCCTGCTTATCTGTTTTTTACAAAGACACTCTGTTTCTGCAGTTAAACTACTTGGTTTCACTGTCAGTTCAAACACTACATGACTTGAAGTTACTTAAACTTTCTGTTTCACAATTTTTTCCACCTGTAAAATAATATTGGTACCTGTGTCCTGGAGTTTTGTGACAGATGATATCTCTAAAAGAGTTCCTACACTGGGAAAGCTCTCTGAAAGATAACTTGCCTGATTGTCTTCTAGAAGAGATAATCTCGAGTTTGCCAAATCAAAAACCCAGCTCATATATTGGGTGCCAGGCCACAAACACTGTGATCTGCTTCTAAGAGAGTTACAGTTCCACAAAGCAGCCTTCAGAAAGACAGGAAAGAAAGCTGTGTACCACTGGAGACCCTTCCCATGGTGCCAGTTACTGGGGATCCCTGCAGTGAGTTCTCAGTCTCCTGGAAAGTGTTATGGTGCACTTGGGAAGAAAAGAAAAGGTAAGAGACAAAAACAGAGGGGAACAAAAAAGGGGTCTGGGATGACCAGTTGTTCTCTAGGAACAAAATGCATGAGCCACCCTGAACCTTGGTATTTATTCACTGCACCCAGTCAAGGACAGAGAGTGAAGGGCACTGGGTGTTTCCAGAAACAGTAGTGGGGACTACACTGAGTTAGGAAGAGCAGAGAATTCTTTCAAGGGCAAGGACAAGAACAAGGACAATGATGAGACAGGGGAGGCAGTAAGGAAACTAGTTTCCTCAGGTGTCTTCAGCAGGTCTTATCTTGCCCTGTGAGCGCCACAGTCATTAGCCTTAGGGCTTCCAGCTGTGACTAGAGAAGAGTGGCATTTCCATATTCCGACCTGGCCCAAGGGTAGGACAAGAATAGCCCTGGACATTTCCTAGACTCAGTTTATAACTTATGGTCCTCAACATGAACACCTTAGTATGTAAAGAGGTCAAGAGGAAACAATTATACACAAGTAGTCCTTGAAGATGTGGGAGCTAGAGGTCAGATCAAGATGGCAGCAGGACTGATTCCTTTTGAGAGGGCTCAGAGGCCCAAGAGTCCCAGGCCTTTGTCCTTGGCTTAGAGAAGACTGGCTTCTCCTGTGTGTCATTTTACCACCATTGTGTGTGTCTCTGTGTTTACAGTCCCCTCTTATTTTTTAAGGACATTAGTTACATTGGATGAAAATCTATCTAATGACCTCATTTTGATTTTCTTCACATAGGTCATCTCCTCATCAAGAACCATTCTTAGAAACAAGGAATTAGGACTTCAGCATATTAAACTGGGGTTGGGGATGAAAAGAACACAATTTTCCAAAGCAAACTTAATTTTACTTTGCACTTTGGAGAAAAATCACTGCACCAAGAAAGACAAGAACCATACCCATTGCAACATTTTTATAGCACAATAGCATCAAAAATATGTGTGCAAAACAAGCTCTCTGTGACAGCCATGGAAGACAGTGAAGGGGTGGATGTGGGATGAAGAATTAGATTCAATAAAAAAGAAACTTATAGTGTCATTCTTGCAGATCCTTCCATGCAAAGATTCTGTCTCACCATTAAGCAATTTTTCCTATGAAACCTGAGGTGTTCATTTCATTTTTGATCGAACTAGATGAACACTTTATAAGATGTGCAAAATATGGTAGTATTAATGCTGAGACTGCTTCAGAAAGTAAATCTGAAGAAACTTCACTGCCTTAGTAAAGATTAGAGAAGAAAATCAAACTTCTAATGTGACCTGACAATGCTTGAAAAGATAGGAGAAAGGTGCAGGGGAATCATAGAGAAAATATTTTGACTCTTCTAAACTAAAATAATATGCAAATAGGAAGCAGTATATTTAACCAATCGAAGGAAATAGTCTAGAAATATTTTAGAATAAGTGATGCCCAAGCAATCAGAGCAAACTATAAATAGATCACATAAAAGACTCAGTGATTTTTTTTTTGTACCAGGAATTGAACTCAGGACCTTGAGCTTTCCAGGCAGTCTCTGTGCCACTGAGCTATATCCCCAGCTCCCAAGGGACTCAAATCTAGGTGTAATTATACACGTCCATAATTCCAGCTACTCAGGAGGCTGAGGAAAAAGGACATCAAGTTTGTAGCCAGCTTGGGAAACTTAGAGAAAATGGTGTCAAAACAAAAAGGACTCAAAGCCCTAAAAAAAAAAAAAAAAAAAAATATATATATATATATATAATGTAAGAGTTCAGGTTAACAGAAGCCTGTGATCAGCAGTAACTGGGAACAAGAATAATTAGGATGAGGAATGGATTAGCTTAGTCACGGTCTCTGCCCATGGAGACCCATCACTCCAGTCACCAACATCACTCGTGTATTTACAAGATTGCAGAGCTTGAAGAGGCATAAACGTGAAAAGGGCAAGTGAAGAATTAGTGATGAAATTATAACGCAGACCTCAGCTCTTGTTGTTTATGAAGACTGTCCAGAGACTCAAGCTCTAATTTTTTGTTTGTTTTTGTTTTACTCTGCAGATTAAGGACTTAAAATGATTGGAGTCCAGAGAAACAATAGGCACAAAAGTCCATTTTGCAGATTAGGTATCTGAGTTTTGGAGGAACGTGTGTTCTTCACAGGGCAGTGCCTGGATCTCTCTGGCCTTGTGGGGAAGTTCAGCACGAAGCACGACTCAGGAAATCATGTATCTTGAATCTCTGGCCAGCGTCCTTCCAGAAGTAGGGCTGTCAATTAACGAGCCTTTAAAAAGAAGAAGAAACTGGAAACCGAGCAGGGTTTAGGGCCGATTTGTCCCAGTGGCTGTTGGTGTGTTTTCAAATGTGGAAATTTCCAGTTTGAAGGGTTTTAATATTTCCTAGACTTTCTAGTTGAAATATGGTTTCTTCCTTTCTAAACATCAAAGGATGCCATCGCCACCCTTTCATGTCATTTAGAAGGAAACCAGAGAAGTAAATTTTTGGAAATATTTTCATCAGTGTTTGAAGGACTTGGACAGCAGCAAATTGTAGTTCTTCCTGAGAAATATTTGCTTCTGTTTTTTATGTCCAAATAGTCATTTATTTGGATGCAACGCAAGCGTTGAGACTGCGGCGAGATCTTGATGCCGCCCAGACAAACTTCTCAGTTTAGTAACAAGCCAAATTCACAAACATCGGTTCCTTGCCTTTGAAATGATGTTTATAAAAATATTTTATGATTTATTCCAGAAACCTTCAATTTAGTGGTTGGGCAGTTTCAACCTCCTCACCAGAAAACTCAAATGAAGAGATCTACTAGAATTTTAGCTTTATAGTTGTGATAGAAATATTCAGAGAACGGCCTATAAATAAACAGACATGAGAGACTTTGGGCCATCAAGATTTTATTCTCAGGTTTATGTTTCTTTCTCCGTCACATCAACCTATGGCATGTGGCTGAAGTATGCACTTGTGACAAACTTCTAGCAAGTAAACATGAGGAATGGAAAGGTCTTAGCAGCTTAGTTGTTTTGTTGTTGTTTTGGTAAGTATCAAGGAATAGCTCTTCCTTCTGGAAAAATTGGCCTGCTACATTCTTAATAAATTTAAGAATGAGTTAGTGATTGCTTTCTGCTTGAAAGTCAAAATTAGGATGCCTTTCCCTAGGAATTATACCATGCTATAAATAGTATTTGCTAATAATATTAATAAGGAACTGACCTACTTCCTCTTTTTAACCAAGAGATAAAAGGTAATAGATTTTCCAATTACTTGATATTGCTCTAGCTATCAACTTGTCTTATTTCATACATATATTAAAATAATTTAAATTGCAAATGTAAAGGAAAATGTTGGAAGAATTGGAAATCCTCGTTTTTTTGTTTTACCAAGATAACTAAGAAAGTATGCCTAATATTATACCTGGCTCTTTGGTATTGTAGCTTTAGGGGAAGTATTTAGATACTGAAGTTAAAACCAGACAAAGGGAAAATCAAATGCCAATTTTACTAGACAGGATCCAATCCATTAGGGTGACACATTAAAGCCAGGATCTCATGGCTAGGGACAAAGTAGGTCTATTGCCACTCAGAAAATGTTTTAAAATAATACAAAATGAAGTCAACAATTACAGAATGCAGTTAGAGATCTGTGTTCTTCAGATGGCCATGGGCGAGCCGACCATGTCACCATGGCAAGAGGTCACGGCTGTGTGCCTGGCCAATGACTGCCACAAGGGCAGCAGCCTTGTCTAGCCTTTGTAGTTTGGTGAAATATGATGTGCACTTTTTGAAAAAAATTGAAATATCAGCTGGTTATGGTGGCACATCCCTCTAATCCCAGAACCTTGGAAGGCTAAGGCAGAAAGCTCATAAGTTCAACCCAACTTTGTGATTTAGTGAGACCCTAGCAATAATGGGGGGAAGGATGTGAGGATGCAGCTTAATGTGAAGGCTCCTGAGTTCAATCCCCTATGTCATGGTTTATGTCTGTGTCCCCCAGGCCTCATGAGTTTGTATTGTGCATTTGTTATTTGTTTATTGTCTAGTGCTTGTATTGATGGTGTCAGTGCTCCACGCACAAAGGGGTGGAGCCAGGATGTGATGTAATGGCAAGAAGAAGGTGTGTCTTGCTCTTTGCTGATTTATGTTTGCTGTTTGCAGCCACCATGAAAGGCAGCCCAGCCATGCCAGCCTGCCTGGGAGCCAACTGAGTGTGGACTAAAACCTCCAAAAACTGTAAAAAAATAAACCTTTCCTTTCCCAATTTGGGCATCAGGTATTTTGTCTCAGCGATGAGCATAAAGTAACTAAGACAAAATTTGGTACCAGGAGTGGGGTCGTTTGCTGTGACTATATCTGACCATGTTTTTCAAGAGGCTTTGGAAATGGCTTGAGAATTTGGAAAGGTTCGGACATGTCGCCTGGATGCATAGAGCTGGAGAAGCTTATGCTGTTCTGTAGAGGAGATTCTGGTCAGAGCTCAGGAGACCAGAAGGCTGATAGAAAGTCTCATGGTAAAGACCAGGCTTGGGAGGTTTCTTCTGGGAGGAAGGATTGCATTGGTTGTTGGACTCCACATGATGTGTGTTATGGCTTGGCAGAAAGTTTGTCTGCATTTCGCTCCTGTCCAGAGACTTTGCCTGAAACTGAGACAAAGGGCAATTGACTAGTTAATCTTGAAAAGGAAATTAAAAAGCAATCAAACATTGAGGCTGTGGCATGGCTATGGTTGGGGACTTTCAGCCAGCTTTATGTTTCAAATCAGGAGCAAAGAGCCCAGCAGGATAATGTACAATGCTGTGAGTTTGGCCCAAAGGAAAATTCCAGGAAGGCTGTGGATTATAAAGACAGAGTTGAGATTTTGATTCCTGAGGAGAAACAGAGAGATAAAAAAGATGGACCAGGGGCATCCCAGGAAGTGGGTCCCCACTCTGTACAGCCTCACAGCAAAGGTGAAAAAATTTGCTCAGAGGGAAAAGCTGTAGAGTGTCATGTTCCAAAATGGCGACAGTGGCCACATGAGGTTCCAGAATGGTGGCAACATAGAAAAGCTTTTTCTCACAATCAGGTAAACAGAGCCCTGCGATCCAGGCAACTGACCCCTACAGCCAAGAGAGAGAAAAGCCTGGCTACTGCTTCAGCTAGCAGCAAACCTTGGCAGCATCCACAAGGTGCTGATTTTAGGTGCAAGGAAAATGCACAAATTCTGAGGGTAAGACGGCTTCCACCTCGATTGCAAACGGCCTGGCTGGCCAAGCAGTGTGCCCCTGAGAGGGCAATGTGTGAAGATGTAAGTGTGAAGCCAAAGGTGCAGTGGAGACCCCAAAAGTTTAAAAAAGCCAGAAATATAGATGATCCAAGGGAAGCTGCAAAAAGCAAGCAGAAAAGATTTAAGAGAAAAGCTGTGGGAATCAAAATTGCTGGAAGTGCCCCGGGGGTGGAATCACCCAAACCTTTTGGAGCTTGCAACCAGATTGTTTCAGCTGCTGAGTGTGGAACTCTAGGACTTAATGTTTGCCCTGCTGGATGTTGGGCTTGCTTTGTTTCCAATACTTTATATTCCCCTGTTCATAACTTTTGAAATGGGAATGTTTATCTTGTGCCTTTGCATTTCAGAAATGTTTAATCTTGTTTCATTTGTACAGGGGTTACAGTTAAGAGTTTGCCATAGATCTTAGAGGAGACTTTAGACTTGGACTTTTCAGCAATGCTAAAGCTGTTAGGACTTTGGCAACTCTTGGAGGTGGACTAAATGTCTTTTGTATAAAGGATGTACATGAGTCTTGGAGGCCAGGGGTGGAATGTCATGGTTTATGTCTGTCCCCCAGGCCTCATGAGTTTGCATTGTGCATTTGTTATTCATTCATTGTCTAGTGCTTGGATTGATGGTGTCAGTGCTCCATGCACAAAGGGGTGGAGCCAGGATGTTATGTAATGGCAGGAAGAAGATGTGTCTTGCTCTTTGATGGTTCCTGTTTGCTGTTTGCAGCCACCATGAAAGGTGGCCCAGCCAATGCCTGCCTGCCTGGAAGCCAACTGAGTGTGGAAAAACCTCCAAAAACTGTAAAAAAATAAACCTTTCCTTTCCCAACTTGAGCATCAGGTATTTTGTCTCAGTGACTAGCATAAAATAACTAAGACACCCTATTACCAAAGGAAGAGGGAAGGAAGAGTGAAGTTAATTGAAAATACCCAGTAAAGAAAATGAAAGCAATTTGCAATCAACTCCTTTAGGTTAATTCACTGTTAATAGTTTAGTAAGTCATCTCCCATCCTTTGTGGGGGGTGGTTAACTGTTTCTATCATTTGTCATTTATGTTAGATATCAAAGTAGGAGTTTGTTTGTTTTCTTAATTTCTGACCTAAAAATTTATTATAGATCGAGGCTAGTTTTTGTTTAGAAAAACAACTTAGTCTGACTGAGTTAAAAAGGTGAAACTTCAGTGTGGGCTGTCAAGTGGAGAAACAAGAAGCTAGCCTCTTCCTGTGAGCCAGCTGGTGCACAAGCAGGAAGATAAGAAGAGCCAAGCCTCCCTACCCAAGAAACTGGCTGATCTGGAGAAACACAGGCTGAAATGATAGCTCTTGAAGTCAAAAACAAACAGTTTAATGCTTGCAGTGTTTAGTATTTGATTGACTTTGCAGACCAAAAGCCACTAGTCTGAGCATCTATTTAGAGGAAAACAATATGCAATATAGCAAGCATGGAGGATTTTTTTCTGAAAATGGTAGACATTGTTAATTCTCTATTATCTTGTTTTGAAATCTGTATCATTTTCTTTTTTTGCCTTGGTTTTATGCTATTTTGTTTTGTTTGATTTTATTATATCTGATGGCATGGGCAACTATTTCAAGGATAACAAGATACATTATGGTAGCCATTATCAATTTCCTATTATCTTGTTTTGAAATCCTGCATTGTTTTCATTGTTTTGTTTTGGTTGGTTTTATTCTGTTCTGTTCTGTTTGATTTTATTATGTCTGATGGCATGGGAAGCTGCTTTGAAGATAACAAGAGGCATTATGGTACCCATCTTTGATTTTCTATTATCTCATTTTGAAGTCCTGTATCATTTCCACTTTCCTATTTTAATTGACTTTTTTCTGTTTTATTTTATTTGGTTTTATTATCTTTAAAATTTCATTTCATTTCATTTAAAAAGGTGAAACTCCAGAGGTATTGGCTAAGCTATTGGTTGATACCTCATTCTCAAAGACTAGGAGAGAATCGCTATGCACGAAAGGAGAAGAAGTCTTCCTTTCATTTTCTTCCACTAAGAGGCTGAGGACAGAGCAGAGAAGAAACATTGAGGAAGGAACAGATGAGGGGAGGGAAGAAGAACCAAAGAGGCATGAGCCAGGGTGCTGCACGGGGGAGTAAAGAGTTCACGGGACTGGGGTGGCCAAGAAGTGTTTGGAGTTCAGCGTCACCCTGGGGACACGATGACATTTATTCTAAAATAGGTGGTGCTCCCTTACCCTAAGCCCCAGCAGTTTAATAAAGACTGTTATATGCACAAGATGTTGGCAGGAGCAAGACTGTCTTGTGCCCCTGAATTTACTAAGTGCCTGGCAAGGTTTTGGACTCTAAGGACGTGGACTTGAGGGTAGATGAGCCACTTGCACCTGTAGGAGCCAGAAAAACCCCTGGGTAATACTTGGGTTATAATTACTCAATTCAAACCATGATGGTGAGATCCTTCCTCATTCTTCTCTAATGAAATCTCCTGCCAACATTGTCCCTTAGATGATTCTAAAGGCTTTCTGGTGCCTGACACACTCAAGGCCACAGCCTTATCATTATCCCCTTTGGCCCTCAATTCTTGCCCAAGTGTCCCTCCTTGTTCTGGTGCTAACACCATAATCTCTGCTCCAGTGACTGCTGCCCACAAGGGCAGACAGGCTGCCCTGTAATTTTTCTTTGCAGAAGAACAGGGGTAATGGAAGGATCAAGTCCAGCCATGAAAAATAAATTGTGTAATTTAAATCCAGTCTGCCCTGTGTACCCTATGGAGCAACCACCCTCCTGGCTTGTCATCTGCTTGTTCCCATGTGGTCAGGCATAGGTCAGGACT